TAGAGGTTCTTATTTATTAAAAGTAATTTGGGAATTTTTGTGTTTTCTGTAGGCTTTACCGACAAGTCTGCCGGTATTGCTCAACTTGGTTTGGGTCACAGTTATTCGCGCGCCAAAGTCAAGTTTAATGTCCATCGTTCAGACAATATGATTATACAGTCGATTGCATTACTTGATCAACTGGATAAAGATGTAAACACATTTTCTATGCGTATTCGCGAGTGGTATTCGTACCACTTCCCAGAGTTGGTTAAAATTGTTCCTGATAACTACCTGTTTGCTAAAACAGCCAAGTATATCAAAGACCGTAAAAGTCTTACACAAGACAAACTTGAAGAACTTGAAGAAATTGTTATGGATTCTGCAAAGGCACAAGCTATTATAGATGCCGCGAAGATGTCAATGGGCATGGATATTTCTATAGTAGATTTAATTAACATTGAATTGTTTGCCGAGAGAGTTGTGCGACTTTCTGAATATCGTAAGAAAATGGCCACATATTTGCATAATAAGATGGAAGCCGTTGCGCCAAATTTGCAATCACTAATTGGTGATCAAGTTGGTGCTCGCCTGATTTCTCATGCCGGAAGCTTGACCAACTTGGCCAAATATCCGGCATCAACAGTCCAAATTTTAGGAGCAGAAAAAGCACTTTTTCGCGCTTTGAAAACTCGTTCGAACACACCCAAGTATGGCTTGCTCTATCATTCGTCTTTCATTGGCCGTGCGGGTTTAAAGAATAAAGGACGTATATCACGATTCTTGGCTAACAAATGTTCTATTGCTTCCCGTATAGACTGTTTCCTCGAGAAACCCACAAGTGTGTTTGGTGAAACACTTAAGCAGCAAGTGGAGGATCGGCTAAAATTCTATGAATCCGGTGAAGTACCTCGAAAAAATATTGAAGTAATGAAGGAGGCTATAGATGCAGCCGAAAAAGAAGTTAATAGTGATGTTCTTGAGACACAAACATTGAAAAAGAAGAACAAGAAGAAAAAACGCAAGGCTGAAGAACTGGAAACTGATAATGGAATACAAGACAGTAAAGCCAATGGCAATGCTGAAGAAGTCAATGAAACTGTCATGGAAGAAAACGGCGAAGGTGAGCCTAAGAAGAAGAAAAAGAAGAAGAAGAATAAGAATAAGGATACTGAAGCTTGAAAGTATAAACGAAGTCTCGTGAATTAGGATATCCGCATTGACAAAAAATATATAAAGAGCGAATGTATTTGTTGGCTATGTTAAACCCGACCTAATATATTTTAAAGTTAAGTTGATAAAATATGCTCTTCTTCAGTTGTATTTAGTTAATACAGTGTTCGAATGAGGCGATTTTCTAGGCAATGTTAGAGGCGATTAGATGAATCAAAAGTTGGCTGCACCCAACTTCATTGAAAGCGATTAGTTGAAATGCCGTTCACACCAGGCGATTGTTTCTTTCAACTTTAAAGTTGCCTATAAAATCACTATATGCGACACCGTGTAAGGAATTACAATTTGCATACTTATCCAATCTGAGAGTAGTATAAGTGACAACTTTTAAATAAATAACAATACTTATACACTTACATATATATATATGTACATACATATAACGAAAACAAAAACAAAAACAAAAACTGGAGCAAAAGTAAGTAAAAAGTTTAAGAACTGCGCACTGCCTTAAGTATATTTAATAATAACTAGTATCGCCCAGTTGTCGAAATTCGACATCTTTTTTTATACACTTTTGAATTTGACGTGTCACCAATACTAACTTCTTTATGCGAATTACTATTTTGAAGTCCACCAGCATAATTCATGGCGAATTTACAGGAAAACTTAAAATCGAATTACGAACGTTAATAACGGATTGATTAATGCGAATTCTACCAAGTCTCCTTTCTTCAGTAGCTTTTGCATATTTATTTGTATGTATAGATGAGATGTTCGAACATCTCACTAACTAATATGTCAAACATATACCAATTCAGACTGAAAATAAGTTTTTCCATTATATTTGTTTGAGGGCCTCTTGGAGGTTAAAAACTAAATTGCCCACATCTACAAAAACTTTCTTTTTTCATCAGAATCGTTAACGGTTGAGAAAGTATCTTGAAGGTTTACAACAAAAGATAATATTTCCTTCTCTAATGGCGGTTTCATACGGGTTTTTATCAAGACTGGGCCAGAGACCAATATTTTTTCATCACACGATTGGGCTACCAAGTTATGCCAAATTTTATGTTACTAATATGTGTTCTAAACCAACCTGATCATAAATATGTTTTTTTATGATAGCTCTCAATCCCTGCGCCACCTATCGCAAAACACACTGATCCTTCTAAAAACTTTTGCACAAAACAACAATCATTCAATGCAATTTTAAAATCCATGGTTCCAAATTGAACGATTCTTGCGATTTTATATGTGTATAAATATAGGTGTATAAAATTACATTACCTTATTATAAGTGCTTCCAGAGAAAAGCAATTTGAGAATTTAAGTTCGTATGGGCGGTGCCACGCCGCCCCTTCCAAAATCTACCACTCTTCGCCATAAGTACGGTATTGACCACATATGTTGCTGTGTCCAATTTCAGGACGTCAGCATAGGCGGTTCCAGAGATAAGTGATATGAGAATTTCAGTTTATATGGGCGTTGCCACACCCCCTTTCCCATTATCTACCACCTTTCGCCATAAGTAAGTTATTGATATCATAAATTGCTGTGTTAAATTTCAGGACGTTAGCTTAAGCGGTTCCAGAGATAAGCGGTATGA